CCCGGAATTCCCACCCCCAGGAGTCGTGATGGTGCCTACTCGTGGAAGCTAGGCAAGCCATGCAACAAAGAATCACTAACTCTTTCAACTTTTAGTCCCTTTTTAACAATTTAGATTAACGGTAATCAACATTGAATATTAACGATAAATAGAACAAGCGGAAGACTTAAATAGATAAACATAACCAAAGCCAATACTACAATGCCAATAAATGCCTCTAACTGGAATCTGGAGTCATAATATCACAGACTGTCTATGAGTATTACATACAAGTGTTTGAAAAAGGAAGTACAGTCTGTCTCGAATACAAGTGAAAACAAAGCACATAATAAGATAGAAGAGAACATCGGGCCTACGGACGCCTGCAGGACTACCTCGGGATCTCTAGCTGGACTGAAGGCAGCCACCCAAATGTTATGGTCCAAGAGCTGTTCTAGGATTTGCACATAGTGCAAAATGTAGTATCAGCACAATCTGACCCATGTGCTGGTAAGTGCCTAGCCTAACCTCGGCGAAGTAGTGACGAGTCTAGGACCAGAATACCAAATAACATGTGCAGTTATATAACAGCGGAAAATAAAACAGAAATAAATAGGTAAATATGGGAGGGGAGTTCATGCTGCGGCGTATACCAATATCAACAGTAAATCAAGAGTAACAGCAAAAGAACAACATAGATTTCACAGCAAAACAATAAGAAATTTGTATCCAATCTATAAACACTTTGTATCAGCAATTGTTGCAGCGCGCAACCCGATCCCAATATATATCAACATTGTTGCGGCGCGCAACCCGATCCATATCATTTATCACTGTTGCAGCGTCCAACCCGATCCATACATAATATTGTTGCGGCGTGCAATCCGATCCAAAAATATATCATTGTTGCGGCATGCAACCCGATCCAAATATATCATTGTTGCGACGTGCAACCCGATCCAAATATATCATTGTTGCGGCATGAAACCCGATCCAAATATCCCATTATTACAGCGTGCAACCCGATCCACATATACAATCACCAACAATCACAGCAAGAGTCCCGGCAAGGGATCAATAAAGGACTAGACTATCCCGGTAAGGGAATCGACAGTATAAGTAACAACATCCCAGCAAGGGAGAAACAACTATAGCCAAACTTGTTCTAGCATCTAACTACCTCAGCTAACACCAATACTCAGTCATAAGTAATTTCCACGAGAATAATCACGATCCTTGCTCAATACAGAGAGTCATCAACTTAAGCATCTCTAGTATTATTTAAGAACACAATAAATTACAATTCAAGACTCACGGTCATGCTCGACACCAACGTATAGATACTCGTCACCATGACTATACGTCGTACTCAACAAGAAACAAGTAGCAAATAGGACACAACTCCTAATCCCTCAAGCTAAGGTTAGACCAAACACTTACCTCGAACTTCCACGGCCAACTCAACCCTCAAACACCGCTTTTCCTTTTGAATTTGGCTCCAAATCAATTGTATCTAGACATAATCGACTTAATAACATCAATAAATGCTAAACAATCCAATTCCAATGCTTAATTATAGCTTTTCCATCATTCTTCCCAAAAAGTCCAAAATTGACCCCGGACCCACTTGGTCAAAACACGAGGTTCGGACCAAAACCCGATCACCCATTCACCCCATGAGCCCGAATATATAATCTGTTTTGAAATCCGACCCCAAAACGAGGTCAAATTCCCAAATAATCCAAAAGTCTTAACTCTACCCAAATTCCTAATTTTATACCCTTAATCTCATGTTTTAGGCCTAGAAATCTAGTGGGTGTTGATAAAAATGGAAGAAAACGAGCTTAGTATTACATACCTATGAAGCTAAGGTGAAGTTCCTCTTCAAAAATCACCCAAGAGGTGTGGAGAAGATGAAGTTTATGAAAAATGGTGAAATTCGCGTAATGCATTCTGTTTTTGAAACTTAAAAATAACTGGGCGAATTTGGTCTATGCGTTCGCGACAGGCTCATCGCGTTCGCGATGAGCTAGGCCTGAGAGACCTTCGCGTTAACGGAAATGGGCTCGCGTTCGCAGAGCACTAACTCCTCGAGCCTTCGCGTTCGCGTCCAGGTGTTCGCGTTCGCGTATGTATAATACCCCTCCCCCTGCCCAGGCTCATAAGCTTCGCATTCGCGATACCAGGCCCGCGTTCGCGAAGGGAAGACCCTCCAAAGCTTTGCGTTCGCGACCTGGGTCTCGCGTTCGCGTAGAAGGAAATTTCCTTCAGCATGAATAACTCATCGCGTTCGTGAGGTTCCTCCCGCGAACGCAAAGAAGAAAATACCAGAACTGAAAACCTGCAACTTTTTATAAGTTCAAAACCTTCTGAAACACATCCGAAACTCATCTGAGCCCTCGGGACTCCAAACCAAACATACGTATTAACTCAATAACACCATATGAACTTATCCGGGCGATCAAATCGCCAAAATAACATCATGAACATCGAATTAAACCTCAGAATCGATGGAATTTCTCAAAATTTCTTTGAACATCAAATTTTACATTTTAGGTCTGAATCACGTCAAATGGATCCCGTTTCTTACCAAACTTTACCAACAACACATATAAATCATATTGAACCCGTACCGGGCTCCGGAACCATAATACAGGCCCGATACCACAGATTTCACATAGTATTTCACTTTCAAAAACCTTTATATTTTTTAGAAAATAATTTCTTTTAAAAAAATTCATTTCTCGGACTTGGGACCACGAAATTCGATTCCTGGCATATGCCCAAGTCCGATATTTTTTAACGGACCCTCCGGGACCGTCAAATCACGGGTCCGGGTCCATTTACCCAAAATGTTGACCGAAGTCAACTCAAATATATTTTAAGTCAAAATTTCAACATTTTCACATAATAGCTTTCCGGCTACGTGCCCGGACTATGCACGCAAATCGAGGCGATGCTGAAAGAGGTTTTTAAGGCCTCGAAATGCAAAATTCATTTTAAAAATAAGTGATGACCTTTTGGGTCATCACAGTAATCCTGTTAGTTTTAGGACATAATACTACAAGTTAGGAATCCTACATGATTACCTTTAGGAATCCTATTACTACATGCTAGCATGTAAACCTAATATCTTTAGGAACACGTTAGGTTTTAGTATAATTACTTTCGGGATAGAGACATATTTTTAGTCATGAAATCCTATTACTTTTAGGATATACTTCTTAAAAATTTCTATTACTAATTTAATTTGAAAATTTATTACAATGTGCTATTACTAATTTAATTTGAGAATATATTATATTGTCCAAATTTATTTAGAAAAAAGAGAGACTATCTATATTATTATAGAAGTACAAATACAATATTGATAGACCAAAATAGTCCTAAAATATTAAATAAAAGAACTCATAGGGAAAGAGCATAACTAAAATAACTTCTTCTTTTTTAACTACAAGACCTTCTATGTTAAATTTTTAATATTTAATATTTTAAAATTAATAAATTATGTCTATTAAATTCTTATTAAAAATATGTAGGAAGGTTAAATAAAATTAATTTTATAAGAGTCCTCCATATTGGCAGTACATTGTCATTCCATAATATCTAATACCTAGAGAAAATAAAAGTAATATTAGATGGACTTCATAAAGCGTTAAAATTGAGAAAACAATATCCCCATAATATATGCTTATATTATATTTGAATTATTTTCCTACACAAATAATATATTTTTTAATTAATTTTTCATGTAATATTGAAAAATATACCCAATTATTAAACAACAACTAAGAAAATATTTAAGAATATAAATGTGTGAGAAAGAAAAAAAATAGTTGTAAGAGTCAAATACTACTAATGATTCTACAAACATAAAGATATAAAAGTGAAATGTCAGATCGATCTTTTTACTTTTTGAAAAGAAAATTTATGGTGGATAAAATTATAATTAAGATTAAATCCTCAAAACAAGATATGAACTAATATTAAGAATCTGAATCAACATAAAATAAATTATTTTTTGTATTAAGACCAAATAATTAAATCTTTCAATTAATTATTTAGCAAGAGAATCCAATTCAATTATTTTTTAAATTCATCATATGAGTAAAATTATTTTTCCAATTAAGAAAAATCTTAGGTTACATAAAAAGAGCGTTAGAGATTAAAATAATTAGAACACAAAGTAAAAATATTATTATAGTATTAATAATCAAATGGCCATACAAGTGTCTATTGAAGCACAATCAAAGCTAAATCATGAATAGGAACAAGCTTTCAAAACTATATTATAAAGAATCAACTCTTATAGTGGGATTATCCTTTGTAGATGCCTCTAGCTAAATCAAAATAATATTTCTATGTCATGCATTATTTGCAAATATCAAATCAAGAGGCATGATACTGTTAGCAATAATAACAAATGGTGTACCAACAATGATATTATTGTTAGGCCACTCACCTTAGATTTGATATACATTTTCAAACAACCGAAATAACCATCACAAATATATCAAAGCAGAGCAATGGTGCTAAATTTATAAGGAAAATAAAATTGATAATATGGGATAAAACGCTAATCACTACAAGAAAAATGCTCAATAGCAAAGGGAAAACTGGTCCCTAAAAGTAAGGAATTGGTCGCAAATGTTCAATAGCGGCCAGCTAATCTGGTCCTTATAGCTTCCGCCGCTAAAGGTTATTAAGGACGAGATAGTGTGCTGGTCGCTAAACCAGTTGCGCAACCAGTTTAAAACTGGCCGTTAAATGTGTTTTAAGGACCATGTTTCTGGTGCTTATTTGCATATTTTAGGGACTAAATTTCTGGTCCTTAAAATATTTTCGCGGCTAGTTTAAATATGGTCGTTAAAACGTTTCACAACCAGTTAGAAGCTGGCTGTTATATCTATTCGGAGAAGTTTAAAGCTGGTCCCTAAAGAAACAAGTCATAAGTCCCTAAATCACATTTAGTTTGCAACTAGAAAATCGAAAATATTAATATATAGATAATGTTGCTTTCATAAAATAATACCAAAAATGATCAACATAAGTTAATTAGTTGAATCGTACATCAATGATGTAAGCTAGTCACAATATTGTGTTCATAAACATTTAGCAAAAAACTACATATACTAATAATATCCCTCGATTGTAATGTAAAATTTTCTTGAAATTCCCAGCAAAATGATGGTTGATCTGTATGTCATCAAAAATCGGCTTCTTGTAAACTTTAATATCCAAAACCTGTTGAAGAAATAAAAAATTTCAGTTATTTTACAAACGTATATATACTCAAGTTTTCAAAAAAAGTCTAGTCTCAACAATGATTAGGATACAACCGACTTGCTTCCCCCACCCAGACAACAAAATTTAGTGAAAGAAATGATAAATAGATGACTTTGCAAATTTTAACCACATAAGAGGTAAAACAGTGTCAATGAACTAAGCTGCAGAAAGTTACTCCACAGAGATCAATCATGCACATTAAATGCACTCATGCAGCCTATCGGACCTATGCCTATTAAAACCCTATCGTTTCTTCGTGGAAAACCTTTTGTTCATTGGAAATCCAAAGAAGTCAAGCACATGTTAGCCATAGAAAAATCTCCAATATGCAGTTGTTGGTAAGTTTTCTTATAGATGGCCAGATTTACAAGAATTACGAAGATTGGTTCCAATCCAAAGTGAAGTTAAGTGTCCCTGCTAGGTTGGTTATTTGCGTGATTGACATGTTTTGATTCGTTTATCACCGTTGGAGAATTATGTCAATATGATGTCAAAAGTTGTGCTCTATATTAAACATCAGGATTATTACTACCAGATAGATCTCTCAAATATGATACGTGTTTTAAGACGGAGGAGAAAACCCCTAGTGTTGTAGCCTATATTTCTTTTCAAGCCTTGTCTCCTACTTTCTTTGTGAAGGAGTCATGTTTAGAATGGCTTCTGTTGTTGGGAATCCTTAAATATTAATATGGCTACTCAAAATAAGACTAGACCTAGTTGTGTGAGGGTGAAGGTGGAGGTTAATTTACCGGATGAATTTCCAAAGTAAATTCAAGTTGAAGTAGAAGAAGTTGAAGATGATCATACAGGTGAAGTGAAGTCCGAACAGTTTTAAGATTAATTATGATTGTCTGCCCAAATATTACAGAGAAAGCAAATCGCAAGGCCACAATGAGGCAGGGTGCAGAATTCTACATCCTGAATTAGTTCAAGAGATAAAGGAATGTGTCACAACCTTTTTCTTGTGGGACAAGCAATATGGCTTTTGCTACAAAATTCCCGGGCCAAAATAGAGTAGTGATCATTGTTGTTAACAGTTTTGACTGGAAGATCAGCTTTATCCTTAGTTTATCATTCATCAGATGAAGTCATTAATTCCTAATATATAGAGGAAAGAAAAATTATTTGCTAAGGGAGCACTGCTGCATGCTAACAACCTTGATTTATAAACTGATAAGTATTTTCTTTCATGTTTTATTGTAGAAATATAAGTTGAGCTAAGATAAATGATAGAAAGGGATGTAAAGAGGTCTCCGGCAATTGCAGTAGCTAGTAGTTGACATAAGAATTTAGTTTGAGAATGTTCAAAAGAATAACTAACTAGTTTCTTGCCACCTTTAACCAAGTCAAAGGAGAAAAGCCCCTGAAGGTGAAAATGTTTTGATTAATAATCAGAACTTTGGTAATGGGAGACTTACTGAAACTTCCAAATCCTAGGTGGAAGCTTCTTTTGGGGAAAAAATAGCAATGAGGATTGAGGACACTAGTTCTGGTGGTGACATACAGGATGAGGGCATAATGGTCATGACCATTCAGTCACACCAGGATCCAGGAGATTCCTTCACAATCCCTAGCTACTACAAAAGAAAACTCAGATTTTCTTAGGCCCACACCAGTCCTAAATTAATTTCCAAACATTATCAGACAAAATCTTGTCAGAATTGACACCGATGAAATTCATAATTAATAGAAGATCCGCAAATGATATACAATAACATACACTTAAATCAACAAAATAAATTGAGGTTTCATGTAAGTTGTTACTCACCTGGTATCATCAAGGATCCCAATAGTCATTCTCCTGAGTTGGAGGCTGGAAATTAGTTTGTTGTACTAATACTAATTCTTTTATTTTCCTCAGTTTTCTTATCTTATTTTCGAAGTTAGACAGACGATCCTTCAAAGACTAGTTTTCATTTTCAATTGAACGTAGCTTAGCCAATAATTCAGGTTTTGAGGTAGTTCCCCCTTTCAAATCTTTCACCTTTAATCCACCCCCAAAGCCAAATACATGACTACGACTTTGAGGTCTAAAACATTTTTCTACAATCTCTATGTTAGGAAGTGACAGTTCAGACTGCACCAATTTCTTGATTTGAGCCTACAAAGTATATAGAGAAATTTTTATCAGATCCCATAATAACTAAAAGTAAAGAATATGTTCAATTAACCAAACGCACATGTTTCTCGATTATTAACAAGTGTGTTATTCTTCTTGCGAGTCTCGAAGAAAATAGTTGTCAAATCTGGTGGTTTGCCATCTTTTCCGCCCTTTACATAAAAGTAAATATGTCAAATAACGTCTCGTCAATATTAAATAAAAATAGATTTGATGATAACACCTTTGATAAATAATCTCTCAATTGGCTTGCTACCAATATGAAGAAGCATCTTCAACTTAGTTTTATTTGCTGCATTCCTGTTACTTCTCGCCTATATTTGAGTGACAACATTAAATCAAATGCTATAAATAAGTTATCAATTAAAAAATCACTGTATAAAATAAAATTACATAATTAGGTGTTATGTCAAACCTGAAAACTTTCTGTAGAAAAATGTTCCTTTACCAACCACTCCCATTGTTTCTTGTCTACCCTCTTGGGCACATTCTTAAGAGCCTCTTGGATTGGCTTACCCTTCACATATTCTGCATGCAATTGTCCTCTCCATTTGTTCCATAACTCTTTCATTCATCCCAAAATATGATCACGATGGATATCCATGTCATCACTCTCAAATTTATCTTGCAATACATTAAACATAGATTGATATCCAATATCATCATAGAAACTCCATGTGATAGAAGAAAACATAATTCTACGATAAAGCTTGAATTAACAAATGCCTTAGCTTTATTTCAATTTTGTGAATTTAAAACATAGAACATGCACCAACAGTAACTGCATCATCCAGGTAGTCCCAATGGCACCAGTAATGATGTGCAAATGCACAAAAATGGTGAATATTTAAGTGTTTCTTCATACTGAAACTGTCCATTCCAATACAGTCATTGTAAACAACTAGGTTCTCTGTTTGGATACCTAACTAGGTACTTTGTTTCTTTCACTAACCTACTCCATAAATCGATTCATACGGGTAATGAACAAAACATGCCTGACCAGTGACGTTCCAAAAGCTTGCTACGGTAAACAATACAAGTTCCAGCAAATACAAAACCGTAAACTTACTGATTCTGCTGAGACATTCTACATCAAGGTTTCATGACAGATCAGCATATCACAATAGAAAACAAACTACATACAAATAAAAGATGCAAGTTGACATCTAGGCCCTAAACTACCACATATTGCTATTACAACAATTAAATTGAATCCAAAAGTCAGTAAATTGTCTGTTCCATTCTGTATCAGACAAGTGTTGAGTAGAATCCACATGAGTTCATGCAAACTTTTTAAAAATTTTAGTTGAACTACAGATATCATATATAAAGGATAAACAATCCTAAAGGAAACAACGAAAACAAAATACGATATGAAGGACATGATTTCATACTCTAGAAATGGTAAAACATCATCACAATTCTTCAGTATGTATATATATGTGCTTGCTCAAATTCATCCGCTTCAAGATCATGATGTTTTGGAGCTCCTAAAGTTTTTCCAGATTTACAAAATAGAGATAAACCTCCATCAGAATATTTTAAACCACCATCGTAATTTCGTTCTGGCCGATTAAACTATGTCGATTCTATTTAGATACCTAGAACATAAGATCATACATTCATTTGCAAGGTACCCCTCTACAATTGAACCTTCTGGACAAGCCCTATTACCAATGAGAGATTTCAAAAAATATAACCATCGTTCTATAGGATACATCCACCGATACTGAACCGGTCCAGCAAGCTTAGCTTCATTAGCTAAGTGAGTAGGCAAGTACACCATGATATCAAAAAATGTGGGAGGGAATACCTTTTCTAACTTACAAAGTGTTATAGGAATTTGAGCTTCAATCTGATCCAAGTCACTAGTCCTTAATGCCTTTTATTCAAACACATTAAAAAATAAAGACAACTCGATAAGGGGTTCACACACTGTTTTGGATAGCATACCATGTAGAGCAAGAGGGAGTAAATGTTGTATAAGAACATGAAAATCATGACTCTTTAATCCAGAAATCTTGTGCTCTTTCAAGTTAACATTTTGAGAAATATTAGATGAAAATCCATCTGGTACCTTTAAATTCTTTAAGAAAAGGCATATGTTGTGCTTTTCTTGGGGAGATAATGTGTAACATGCAGCTGGAACTTCATATTTTTCTCCTTTTCTGATTGGGTGCAATTCCGGCCTAATGTTCATTTCTTGCAAATCGAGTCGAGTTTTAATGGTGTCCTTGGTCTTTCCTTTGGCATTCATGATCGTCCCCAAAATATTATCGCATATATTTTTTTCAATATGCATAGCATCCAAATTATGTCGCAACAAGAGTGATTTCCAATATAGAAGTTCAAAAAAGATACTCCTCCTATTCCAATTATCTTTTTGAACATCATGTGATATCTTGGTCCTTTTCTTTGGATCTTTTGTTAACTGTAACCCTTTAAGATCTTGCACTTGATTAAGTATTTCAATACCATAACACATTTTTGGCGGGAGCTTTTTCTCTTTTGTGCCATCAAATGACTCCTTATCATTCATCCATTTGTAATTAAGAGGAAAGTAACGCTGATGACCCATAAAACATTGTTTCTTACTATTCTTCAATCTGATTGAGGAAGTGTCTTTATTGCAACATGGGCATGCCAATTTACCTTTTGTACTACATCCAGATAAATTTGCATATGCTGGAAAGTCATTGATGGTCCATAACAAAGAAGCATGTAACTTAAAATTCTGTCAGCTTGATGCATCAAAGGTCTCAACACCAATTTCCCATAACTCATTCAACTCCTCTATCAAGAGTTGAAGATATATGTCAATTGTATCTCCTGGACTATCTGGACCAGGTATAAGCATGGACATAATGAAATTTTCCTGTTTCATACACAACCAAGGTAGTAAATTATAAGGAATAAGTACCACAGGCCAAATACTATATGAGGTTTTTGAATTCCGAAATGGCTGGAATCCATCACTAGCAAGTCCAAGTCGAATATTACGAGGCTCAGCCGCAAATGAGGGATGAAGTTCATCAAATGATTTTCATGCCATTGAATCAGCTGGATGCCTCATTGTTCCATCATCAACCCTTTTATCATGATGTCATGTCATTAGAGAAGATGTCTTTGCATACATATACAACCTTTGAAGCCTAGGCTTCAATGGAAAATAACGTAAAAAATTTGATGCTATTTTTTTACCATTCTTATTCTTTGCTTCCCCGCTATGTTTATCTATTTTCCATCTGGATGCACCACAGACTATACAGGAATCAAGTAAATTATCTTCCTTCCAATATAGCATGCAATCATTTATACAAGCATCAATTTTTTGGTAGGAAAGCCCAAGGTCCCGAATCACCTTCTTTGCCTCATAATATGAATTTGGCAAATTCGCTCCATCAAGCAACATCTCATCCTTCAACATTTTTAATAACATTGTAAATGACTCGTTGCTCCAATGACCCATACTTTTTATGTGAAGCAGTTTAATCAAAGTGAAAAGCTTTGAAATTTTCGAACTTTGGTATAGTGGCTTCTCGAAATCTTTCAATAGGCTGTAAAACTTTTTGGCTTCAACATTTGGTTCTTCTTCAAGTAAATCATTGTAACCAACATCAGCAGTGCCTCCATCATGATTAGGATACAAATCCCTCAGCATTTCATGTATTTCATCATTATCCTCATAATCATCTACTTCATTATTATCTTCAACTTCGCATTCCAACTGTGGCTCACCCAGAACTACTCCCTGATGATACCAAAAAGTATAATTTTGAATTATTTCATATGCTTTCAAATGTATCTCGACTGTCTCACGTGTTCCTAATGTTGTGTTACAACATTTGACACACGGACATCGTATTTCATACAATTCTCCTGTTCTTCTAAAGGCAAAAAATTTGCACCCCAATTAAGTAGGATTCGTCAAGTCGGTTATCAACAAGTTGTATCGCTTACTTGGTGCCATAACCTTGGATAGTAAATAGAAATAATATTTAAAAAATTAAGATCACAAAAACATTAAGATGCACATTACTTATAAAAGAAAGTACTACGATGCACATTACTTGTTATTACACTAGTCAAACTCATCTTTATGACTAAACTTCTTACGATTTTACAAGAATGAAATAAATTACAAGTTGATATGCATAACATATAACTCACAATTGCTCAACAAAATGAAAAATTAAAACACAGAAGACACTCTAAAATTAAATCACTGATATTTTATCTTGTCTTCCTTAAATAAATAAAAAATGATACAATAACTATCATTCTACTATTAAAAAATTTGTAATGATTGTTATCTAATGAGACACTAGCTATATTTGTCATTTTTTTTAATCAAGAACTAGTTTTATATATATATATATATATATACATATATATATTTGAAGTATGAAGTTCAACCATATCCTAAAGATAGCTAAAAAAACTACAGGTAAGCACAAGAACATGAAATGCTATTTATCTTTAACATAATCAAAATCCAACACCGAGATTCGTTAATTTAGTGAAGAACTATATTTTCCGCTCCATCAAATATATTCTTTTCCAATCAAAGTAAAACTTACATTATAACTAGAACCAAAATAGAGCCTATATTATAATAGTTGATATAGTTGATCATTAATATGTTAGTGTCATCTAGGTTCACTTGTGGGTGGCAAAATAAGGCAGAACTAGGAGAAGGATAGAAGGAAAAATGGTACTTGGATGTATTTCAAATTTTTTGTTGTTCAGGATAATGTGTTTGCTTTTTACTGCACAACATATGTTCTGGAAAGTGTAGGAAAATAGTTGACAACTGACAGTAGTGTCTTGTGAACATGATTAATTCGCTCAAAACATTGACCTTATCAGAACATTACGAAGCTCAGCCTATATTCTCTTGCAGTCCTAATACAAGCAACCAATACCCATTTTTGGTGAAATTTCAGTTCTGGGTTGCTTGACATTCTCCAATGTCCGATGATTTTACGAGCAACCAAACCGCCCCTCTTTTGTACAAATTTCTCCTCACACGATAAAGATCACCCAATTTTAAACCCAATAATCTCACTTTTATCACTCACACAAGAAAGATCACTATTCAAAACAACCAACAAGGTGCAAAATGGTACTAAAAGATTTCTCCACAACAGTGTTAGGTCAGAGTTTTACTAAACACCAAAAGTACAAAATGTAATCTTATCAAAAATCTCAACTTCAAGCTTTATAGAGTATCTTGCTGTTACAGGAACTATGTGACTTTGCAGACATGATTTTTTAATGAGAATTACACTTTTTGTGTTGTAAATATTTATTTTATAATCATTATAAAAGCAACTACTTTTAACTTATCTTCATTCTACATTTTCAATAAACAAAACTGTATGAACAGGAAAACCTAAAAGGTCAATTAGTAAGAGAGATTTCTACATATAGAAACAAAAAATAAAAGAGAAAGAAATTGAAGAACCCTTTTGCGATTTCTGATTCAAATTGAAGAAATTGAAGAACCCGGATTTTGACTCTCCATATATAGAGTTCTAAGTTGCAGAAAACAAATAAAGAAACAAAAAGTTATAGAACCCCTTTTGCGATTTCTGATTCAAAGGGAAAAAGGACACGAAGAAGAAGAAAAAAACAGAACATATCAAAGAGAGAAATTGAACTTACTCTTGTTTAGCGGATAATCCAATAGTATAATTGTGTAAAGTACTTTGGAGGATTAGCGGCCTCCAAAATTTAGCGGCCTCCAAAGAAGAAATTGTGTAAAGTACTTCCCCCTGAACAACACCCTTGTCCTCAAGGGT